AGCTGGTGGACTCGGTCCTGGATGTGGTGAGAAAGGAGGCAGAGGGCTGCGACTGTCTGCAGGGCTTCCAGCTCACCCACTCCCTGGGAGGAGGCACCGGCTCCGGGATGGGCACGCTCCTCATCAGCAAGATCCGAGAGGAGTACCCAGACCGCATCATGAACACGTTCAGCGTGGTGCCGTCACCCAAGGTTTATATCGTCACCTTCCTTAAATAATGGCCCAAACGGGTTTCCTGTCCCAAAATGGTTTTATTTATTTCTTTATGTTGCCTTACTCATCTTGTTTGCAATAAAGAGGTGGTGTTGTTTTATTTTATTTCATTATTTTATTTATTTATTTATGTTTTTGCCAAGATCATTCTTGTAAAAAAAATTATTATGTCATAATTTTAGGGAGGTGATGATGTTCACTTCTGTTCAGATATGATGCTCTGCTTCCTCAAGGTGTCCACACATACTTAAGACTTAAATTCATGTGTCTCAGTGTAAGGCTTTGAGATGTCTTAAATTCCCCTAAAAAAAAAGTATATATACATATATATATATGTTTATATACATACATATATAGACTTGTGGGAGTTAAGTTTACCAGTTCCCTTGCTTGCTACCTTTTTTTTTTTCTTTTTCTTTTTTTTTTCAATGTCCATGCTGGTGAAGTGTAAATTTGTCGCCATTTGGGTGGACGACATTCGTCTTCTGTTGCCAACCCATAAGATTCTATGTGTGCTGGGTACAAAAAAGACTGTAGTCAGCAGTTTGTAGTACGAGAAGCACAAAGCTACAAATTTCCTTTGTACATTTCTGTTGTGATACGGGTCTTAAATTTCATTCATAGTCATCTTAAAAAGTCTTATATTTGGTGAAACCTTCAGAAGTCCTCCCAGCCTTAAACTAGGTTCCATTGTCCTGTCTGTATTCCCCTGCTGGCAGGTGTCGGACACTGTGGTGGAGCCCTACAACGCCACCCTGTCCGTCCACCAGCTGGTGGAGAACACTGACGAGACCTTCTGCATCGACAACGAGGCGCTGTACGACATCTGCTTCCGTACGTTGAAGCTCACCACGCCCACCTACGGCGATCTGAACCACCTGGTGTCAGCCACCATGAGCGGCGTCACCACCTGCCTGCGCTTCCCTGGCCAGCTGAACGCCGACCTGAGGAAGCTGGCCGTCAACATGGTGCCGTTCCCCAGACTGCACTTCTTCATGCCGGGCTTCGCGCCGCTGACGAGCCGCGGCAGCCAGCAGTACCGGTGAAGACGCTCAGTCCACCCTTAGATTAGGATTATCCCCCACTTCTTTACATACTTAATTCCAAGTGAATGTCTTCTCTTTTCCAAGGGCCCTGACCGTCCCTGAACTCACCATGCAGATGTTCGATGCCAAGAACATGATGGCGGCGTGCGACCCGCGCCACGGCCGCTACCTGACGGTGGCCGCCATCTTTCGCGGCCGCATGTCTATGAAGGAGGTGGACGAGCAGATGCTGAACGTTCAGAACAAGAACAGCAGCTACTTTGTCGAGTGGATCCCCAACAACGTGAAGACGGCCGTCTGCGACATCCCGCCACGTGGCCTCAAGATGTCCGCCACCTTCATTGGAAACAGCACGGCTATCCAGGAGCTGTTCAAGCGCATCTCAGAGCAGTTCACTGCCATGTTCCGCCGCAAGGCCTTCCTTCACTGGTGAGTTAGGGTTAATCAAACGCTAGTCTGTTTGCCTAAAGAGTTCGTTTGGGGAGGTGTGAATGTGCTATCCAACTGACGTGGACCAATAAAGCAAACTGGTCCTCCGAAAAACCTAGGTCTCAATTTAGTTGAATGAACTCTGATGCTGTTCAAATTCATATGTGAATGCAAGCGTCCCAGAGACCTCTCCAAAAGCAGGAAGCCAACTTTAACGCAGGGCATTCTGGGTAAATTCATCCAAAACAAACACGTTAGCAGAAGAAATGGCTCATGGTCAAAGACAAGCGAAATCCTACAACCACTAAAACCTGACGTCACTCCATTTGTTTACTTTTCATGAAGAAGGAAGTAGTGCTCAGTGTTTCCTTCTAGTTTCATTCAGTAGTTTTTTTCCCCCTCCTTGATCCAAGGTTTTTCAACAGGTTTGGTCTGTTTGACACAGTACAGTGTGAAAGTGAACTGCCCCATCTGAAAATGTAACAAATGTTGCAACTTTGATCCTCAATCTAACCGAGTTTATCAGGCTATCAGGTGCACTAAAACACAGTGGTGTTCTAGTGTAAGCCATAAATGCTAATGTCTCGTCACAGGTACACCGGCGAGGGCATGGATGAGATGGAGTTCACCGAGGCGGAGAGCAACATGAACGACCTGGTGTCTGAGTACCAGCAGTACCAGGACGCCACGGCCGAGGAGGAGGGCGAGTTTGAAGAGGAGGAAGAAGACATGGCCTAAGCAGCTAATGTGGCGGCTTTGCTCCTGGGCAACAATGTTAGATTTCAGCGTTTCTTTCTTTGTTCAATGTGTCAAGCCAATGACACTTAAGGTGTGATAAATGTCACCAGCTTTGCTTGTTCTAAAAGTTCTAGGATTGCTTTCAGGCCTTGCAGAAAACATGTTAAATATTACGTTAGAATTTTTTTCTGGAGCATAAATGTATTAACCTGTAATTCTGTCCTGTAGCATTTTGAATGTTTTGTACATTGAAGCTTTAATCTGTAAGCAGTTTGTTTTTATGTGGTAGCTAATTCTTTTAAAATTGGAATTGTGATGATGAGTGTTTTTCTGAATGTTGTAACTTCTTCAGTCTGACCTCCACATTGACTGCTCACAGTATTTCTGTAAAGCTGTTGTGGTTTCATTGATATCAGTACATTAATAATTTGATGATATGTTCATAGAGTTTAAATAAAAGTTTTTACCGTTGTACTAAGCTGTGGATTAGTGATTTTGTCAGTTGAAGGCATATGAATAAATACTTGAGCAATTCGAGGGGATTTCAATGCTTTCATGTTGAAAATGAAGGAGATAATCTGGACGTTACGGAGCCTGTGTATAAAGGGCGACATCTGCTGGCCAAATGGCAGCATTGTATTTAATCGGAGGGAATTTTTGAGCTTTATGGAATTAAAGTCCAGCACATGCGCAGTAACATGATGTAATGATCTGAAACAATAAAACTAAACTGATAGAATATTTTCAGATCCATCAAACAAACAGCTGAAGTTGGTGATGAACTGCAGAACTCTGGATCCTGAGGAGATGGGGACATGCTCTTAAAACTATTTTTGGCCCAGTATTTTCACTTAATCGGAGCTACTGAAATATTATGTAAAGTCATATTGCATATAGGTATCATACTCCAAATAAAAACTAGTATCCCTTTTAAACCAGCAGTATTTTTACAGTGCGTTCTTGTGTTGCTATAAAGGACAACAAAAATATTCTTTTGTTGTCCAAAGTCATTACAGCACCTAACCGTGCATTCAGGATTCCTTTTCCGTGTGGACAGACCAAGTAGCTCCTAACTCCGTAGTGAAAGTAAAATGTTGCATAATTAAATATAAATAGGTATAAACATCTGAGAAGTGTGGCGTGAATTTATATCCAGCCCCTTTTTACTATTAGTTGCATAATCTACAAATCTCTCTGCTGCATAATCCATTACATTTACGTCCCGTTTCTCCATAATTAATTAAAGCTACAGTACTCTGACATGAAATAATCCAATTCCGTGCTCAGCGCAAAACAGAACAAGCTGAACGTAAATCAGGCGAGCAGCTTGTTTCCCCCCCGCTGCTTCAGATCTTCCGCTCGGAGCAGGAGCTCAGATGACTCATCCGCGCAGATATTCGCCTAATCAAGAGCAGATAATGCATCTAACTTAAAATAGCAGCGGCATGTTAGCCAAATTTATTAAGTATTAAGTGAACAAAGGGTCCGCAGAAAGGATCTGTTCTTCCCTCAGAGGTCAATATCCTGCCCGGGCCTTTGTCCCGCTGTCTCACAATCAGATACCGCCGTCGGGTGACGCAGGCTCACTCAGCCGGGCTTTTTACGGGCTGCTGATGCTTGTAATTACTCTGAGCACGGCTGATATCAGCACTGAAATGAGGAGGAAAGCGTGATCATCACATTGGATTTAATTGAACAAGTTTTGTTTTTTTGTTTTGTTTTTTTCTTCTTTCAATTTAAGATCACACATGCAAACACGAGAGACATCGTTTCACACCACAGTGCAAACAAAACGCCAGCCACCAATGTTCACAGCATCGCGCGGGTACGTGGCACACGCACGTCACTCTGTCTGGTTGTTTGGACTCCAAAGTCAGTAAATGAGGTGAAGTTTAAGTTATTTAGCCTAAAAGTTGCACAGAACAAAACACGGATCGTAGTGACAGGATTCACCCCAAACTGAGTTAGTTTGAAACAAAGATTTATGTTACAAAGTCTTGTTTTTAGTGATTTTTCCCAGAGCTGGTCCAAGGTCGAATGAGGCCTTGAGCAGAATGTGATTTGGGGCCAAGCTTCCTGTCAAACCAAGCTTCAAAAAGACATGTTAAGGTCTTTTTGAAATAGAACATGTTTACGACACCAATAACTTTGGTCTTTTTTGTTATTGTTGTTTTTTTTAATGCTGGTTTTTTGCTCTTATTCTAAGTGCATTTCACTCAAATATTTTTTATAGTTTTTTTCTTTTACAAAAAAATTGTTTTGTTTCTTTTTCTTATTTTTACCTTTTTGTCTGTTTGAAATAAATAAATATACTCACAAATTTAGAAAAAGAAAAAACAAAAACATTTTTGTACATGCCAATACATTGAACATGATTATTCAGGCTTGTTCTGAACTTGAACATTTCCTAATTATTTTCAAACAAAACAATAAAACATTTTTAAAGTTTAATTGTTCTAGAAATTCCAATTTGTGTTTTAAACTTAAAATGTGTTTAAATTTTATTTTAAACATTCTCAACACAGTAATTCTAAGTACTAAAAGATTTAATCTTTGAAAACAGACGCATTCCTAGTGGTTTCGAAGCCTGAGCTGCGTCTTGCTTCGCTTATGCCTCGGGCCGGCTCTGGGTTTCCGTCCCTCCGGCTGCTTTCATTTCCTCTTGCCGATCCTCGCCATGAGTTCCGCATTGGCCGCTGCCTTGGTCCTCATGTCCTGGTTCTTGGCGAGGTCTATGAGGACACTGAGGATGCTGGTGGGGACATCCAGGGACAGGGCGAAGCGGGAGCCCTGCTGGGCTCTCTTTGGCACCCGGGATGCGGGGCGCGGGGCTCTGGCCTGCCGCAGCACCAGGTGATGCTCGGAACGGAGCAGTGAGTTCAACACGCCGTCGCGGTTCAGGAAGTCGACGGCCAGGACGTCTCTTTGCGTGTCCTCGTCGAGCCGGGCGAGGGCCGGGCGGCTCACCTGGCCCTGAACGCAGCAGGGCAGCAGCAGAGCCAGGCAGAGACACACACACACACTCCTCATGGTGAGCACGTCTGCAAGAAGAGAGAGACACACACACACACACACACAGAGAGAGAGAGAGAATGAGAGAGAGAGAGAGAGAGAGACACAGAGAGAGAGAGACACAGAGAGAGAGAGAGAGAGAGAGAGAGAAACGGTTTTAATTTTTTTTTTTATTTGACCAGAACTTTGCTCTTTCAAGTCTTTCATAAGCGCAGCAGCAGCTCCGTCCCTTCTGTGCTTTTTTGTGCAAGTGACTCCAATTCAAAATTGATTTTTTTTTAAATGTACTGTGCTGATGGAATCTAATTTGTGTTGCTTTTTATATAAATAATAATTTCTGCTGAAATTCCTTACTTCCTATTTTTTCTGCATGCCTTAAATGTACACCAAATATTATACATTACAAAGAAAATAAATTCCACTTCCTGACAGTTTTTAATGAATTTGCACACATTAAAAAAAATAACTCCTGAAAACGGATCACAATCAGTGTTTCTCCAAAGTTTTTGAAAAATTTGTTTATATGAGATACCAGGGAAAAAACACTTTTTTTGGGACAAAACTGTAATATAAAAGGTTAACACTTCTTAAAAGTTATTGATACTTTTAAATTATCCAATTCATTACAAAAAACATATGTATTTACATATGTTTTTCTATGACAAGCTTTTTTGTTTGCGTGTCGAATGAGAGCAGGATGCTGGATCTTCCAGGTTCAGAAAACTTTCGAAAAATGCAAACATGTGACAAAACTATCTTCAACTCTTATCCAACTTCACATCCACAAAGGTCATGAAAGCAGAGGACACTCAGCAACTCACTCAGGAGGGAAAAGCTGACGGCGTAACCAGGAGGCACCTGTTGCTCCTCTGGCGATGATCACCTCCCTGTGAATCTGCAGCGTCCTCCTTCTTCTTCCGGCCTGTCAGATCTTCCTCTCCACTTGCTCGTCCTCAGCCTCTCTGGTCTTCCTCTGAGCCGCTGCGTCCATCCCCGCTCTGTTTATCTCTCACACCCGGGCGCCCGCCCCTCTTTTCACTTCCTCTGTACTCCAATCGCCGTCTTTCTCTTTCTAAAAATAACATGATGCTAATCGCAGAGTGGCTTTGCTTTTAATTAGTTGGATATCTGCTCCGGTTTGGAGTCAGAGCGCAGAGCCACGTCAGATTGCACATGTTTCATGCGAGATGTTGATTTGACAGCTGATTGCGGGCAGAGAGATGCAGCGAGGGTGTGATTTCTGTTGTGGGTTATATAACCTGTAGGGAAAAGGGTGTGTGGAAGCAGATTTGAAATAAATATGTATCTAATCACTTTGGGCATTTTTATAGATGAATGTGGGGAATTGCAGCATGCGAGTGTCTCAACATCGACAACAAAACTTTAACTTTTTGCAAATGCTTTTTTTTTTTTTTGCTGGAATTTTCTGTTAAAAAACAGAATGGCGTTTGTATTCTCCCCCCTTCTTACGGTGATACACTTAAATAAATAATAAAATAATCTAACTGCTTCTGGAAGTGACTTCGATAAGTAAATAACATCTCTATCCTGTTTGAGGCTCAGAAAACATTACCAGCATTTGCAACTATACAAACCGGAGAAAATATTAATTAAATTAAAAGAAAGAAAAATACCATGACAGAAGAGCTGCAGTTCAAAGCAGCTTTAAATGCTCACCGTTTAAAACTACTGATCACAGAATCTTTTCAATCCAGTCTGGCGGAGAATGGCCTAGTCAAAGTCTAGACCTCAATCCAAATGTTTATCTTTAGCAAAACGTAATAAATGCTGATTATAGTTTGAGCTATAGATATGTAAAATTGGTATACCGGAACAGACTTGCAGCTGCACGCCTCACTCTTCAAAAAAGAAAAAACGCAGTACTTTTATTGTTTTGCGCTGTTTATTACGTCCCAAACAACGCGATGAAATACATTAGTGCGTAATCATAAGGTCACAAAATGTAAAAAAGCACAAGTTCACAAACATCCGGGCACTAATTTTAGAGTTTTTAAATAACAGAAGCCAGAAACACACGGAGGATTAAAAAAAAATGCAGCATCAGAGACTAATTCCCGACGAGAACAAGGAGAAGGAAGAGGCTGCAGGCCCAGAAAGGAAACCCAGCGCGTCTTGAGTCACCTCACCTCTACCCCATCAAAGGCCTTCTCCTCATCTCACTAATGATACAGAACGGTAACAACATCCAAACCCCGCAGCGCCGGGGGATGATCGCAGTAACGTCAGTGCGGTGAATAAACGCAGTGGGTCGGACCAGCAACATGTCTGCCATCGATCCATCAGAACCCGAGGAAACTCCACCATCATATGAAGGATAAAGTTTGGAACACCGGGTTTTATCGTGAGATTTTAATGTTATTGTTCTGAATGACTGTATTATAACTTTTCTTTTAGTGGGAGAGAATGTGAATGAAAGTTATTCAGCTTTATTTTATAACTGCTTCTAACATTTTTATGCTTCAGAAGATTCACTTTAATCTAATTGTTTAGGAAATAGCAATGATTATGAGACCATCTTGAATTAGAAAAGGAAAAAAATAACCTCCCTGCTCAATCTACCAGCATTAATGAAAATGAAATTAAAAAAATACCACAAGAGAACAGCAGGACATAAAAGCAAAAACTAGCAGTGATGAATCCTCTAGTATCAAAATAACCTCCAGTGACAATTCAAAAATAATTTATACCAATATATATATATATATATATATATATACACACACACACACACACATATAATGTTGACTTAACATACATTCTGCAAGAATCTCCAAATGGTCGTCATGGATGGTGAAACTGGGCGCAGGAAGGATTTACTGTAGCAGTCAGTCTTGCAGAGACTCGGAAGAAGCCTCTGACCGAAGACTGGTGCTAGAATGATGGCTAGCTACATGCCAACAGCTCAATTTCCAGGCAGTAGAGACAATATTCCAACGTCTCCAGCAGGACACAGTCAGTTGCTGTCAAGTTCTGCTGATCCGCTTCATCTTTAAATCTGTCGGCCTTATGGTTAGAAAGCCAGGCTGATTTGGGAAGCACTTCCCAGATCAGCTTTTGAGATGTTAATCAGATGCTCCCAGTAGTGAAAAACAAACAAAAAAAACAAAAAACATAATTGTCCAAAGTAAAGAAAAATAAAATCCTCCAGCTGCACACCGGTTGAGTTTGCCATTTTTGAATTGAGGTCAAGAAATAAAACAATTCACTAAAGCTTTATTGTTTTTATTTGTGTCTTAACGACAACTTCTGGTATGTACAACAGTGGACAGAAAACAAATGTTTACAGAATGTATAAATATTCTCTCGTTGCTCCAACTTGGATACTGGCTGAATTGCTTTACAAAGTTAATCAAGAATTTACGTTTGTCCTCGCTGCAAGTTTCTCAAAAACGTTTCAGATGACAAGTGCCTGCAAAGTACAATCAACACATGGAGAATATTTGAGAGACTCCGACCGGCTGCTTCCCCGACGGGTAACTAAGGTACAGAATGGGTGAGATGAGAGGAGGACCCTCGGGTGACAGAAGAAAAGGTAGGAAGAGGACGAAATGAAGAGCAGCGGATGTTTTCCTAGAACCGGAGCCAGTACATGGCGCTGCGCATCCTGTTGTAATCCGGTAGCTGCTCAATGGGACCTGGTGGAGACGAGGAGGGGACAGGTCAGAGTGCGTACAGCGACCCGGTTCTGATCCTACAAGAACGGGAAGGGTGGAGAGCTCACCGACAGCAGCCACGGCAGGACACTTATCGTAGATGTATTTGGAGCAGATGTCGCGCACCATCCTGGGAGTTACAGCCTGGGAGATGAGAGGAGGAAGAGAAAACTCTTCAGATGAGAAAGTTGTGATTCATTAAAAAAAAAAAAAGGATCTGCAGCGTGCTGTGGAAAGACGACTCACATCGATCCGGGCGCTCCACTCTGCCAGAGGAATACGACGTCCGTAGTTCAGGACCTGTCTGCCGATGTCGTCACAAATCGGTGTTGTGCCTACGAGATCGAGTGGTTGTTAGCTTAAATTGATGCGCGGCGTGTAGACTGAATTGTAGACATCCATGATAGCAAACCTGTAGCTCTGGGGCCACATTTAGTGTGTGTGTTTGTGTTTAGCTTTCTATTTAGGACTTTCTCTGGCATATTCTTATTACCAACAGGCCTTATGAGGGTCGAAGCTCTGCTCTAATGTGGTGGTCCTCCTTCTTTAAGGCTATGGATTAGGATTGGAGGTTTGGTGTGAACTAACCTTTGGCTAAAGTTTGGAATATGCTGCTAATCTTTAGGGTAAGAATGGAAGTCGATGCATATGCTAAAAAAAAACATCCTACCAAGTATATGTGGTCTAGTTTCTACTGCAAATATCCTAGTATACTTGAAATTAGACAAAAACTAACAAGTAAACACTCAGCAGGATGAAGAAGAGTGTTTTAAGTCAATAATTCCTCAATGTTAATGAAAAAGTACAAGCTATAGCTATAATCTGCCAGTGACACAAGACATTTTCCCCACATAAGTTAAAATGTCTTGTTCCACTGGTAGATTATTATTAATGAAACTAATACTGTTTCATTAATATTAAGGAATTATTTACAAACACATATCTTACTATAAAGTTACTTGTAAGTTAGTTTTATCTAACTAGACCACAGATACTTGGTTGGATTTTGTGTTTTTGTCGTCCTCATACAGGTGGAAGCACAAAGTTGTGTCTGTGTGTGCCACTAGGCTGAAGTATTTTTATTATTTTATCATATAAAAATCTGTTTCATCTCTCATTATAAAGGTTTTATGTTTTTATTTGCCTTAGAACAATAAATTAAATCCTAGTTATGTGGTGTTACGTTGTTTCTAATTTTAAATAACTTTTAAAAAGCTATATATTTTTGAAGATTCATGAAGGTTTTGCAGCTCCAGACTATTTAACAGTAAGTGAAACAAAAATCACTGTCTAGATAGTAAAGGCAGCAGGAAAGAGATCATGGTACCATTGAGCTGTGCAATCAGGCTGGCCTTCAGAGCGTTTTGGGCTCTAACAACATCACTGTCTGTGACCGTGGTGCAAAGGTTCATCCTGCAGGGACAAAACAAGGTAGGAACCACATGAATTACAAGCACTCATTGTATAACCTGCAGGATTAATCCACCTCTCCGACTCTGGATTAAATGATCTCGGATCGGTTCCTCACCAGGCGTTCTGGGTCCAGTGCATCATGTCGTCGATGTGGTGCTTGTCGCTCACAAAGTAGATGCCCAGCAGGCCGGTGTCGCTGTAGGCAGAGTGGAAGGCCTGGAAGCTGTGGCACAGGTTGTCCTCCACTGCCAGGCGAGCCAGACGGCTGCTCAGGTGCTGTGTGTGTGAGAGAGAGAGTGAGAGAGTGAGAGACGAATGTCAGACCAAAGACATGCAAAGAAATTGATGACATCCAATAATCCACGACGTAAACAATGCTCAGCAGGTGTGTTCCTCCCGACAGGTCCGGAGGCAGAGGGAAGACCCCTGACTCAGGTTTTTAGACAGGCAATGCTTTACCCCTCCATAATGGCCACTCAGGACATGGAGAGTCCCGAGTGGGCAAAGCTTAAAGGGGATTTTCTTTTTTCCCACCAAGTCATGAGATGTTACTGTTCTCACTACCAGAGGAAAGAAAGAAAAAAACAGATGTTCACCCACCTTTCCACCCCCGTAGGTGAGGTCATAACTGCCAACGATGGCGTTGGCGACCATAAGGGGAACAATGTCGGGGCTGGAAACACTGGCGCCCTCCACGGCGATGGCGATGTGTGCCAGGGGAAGACCGTCATCCCGCATGCGGATCTGAACAAGACCAAGAATTTTACTGTAAACATTCCAGTCAATAAGGATGCAAATCTACTAAAGCGTCACCAATATTTCTCATCAAAGTCTGACGAGCAAAGAGCCACACAGCTGGTGTCAGTCTGTGACGGCGCCCTGCTAAAGTATTCACACCCACTGAACATTTATTCATTATGCCTTCGCTACAACCAAAAACTCTAATGTGGAAATAATTTAATAATTCAGTCAGATGAAACATGCTGGTCAGACTGAAAGATAAACCTAAATATCTCGCAGATATATAATTATTCTATGCTTAATATTTACAGTTATAATTGTCTAACTAAATGTACTTGAGGATTTTTGGGGGATGTTTATTTTCGGTGTCTCACCTCGCTGCCAGTGAACCGGCAGGGAGACAAGACGGGGACGGCGTCTCCCTCATACTGAAAGGAAAGTCCACTGAAATGAGACTTGGCCATGCCCACCAGCTCGTCGTGGTTCACACCTGTAGATGAGGCGTACGTTAGAAACATTAAAACGCTGGGTCCCACCGCCATCAAACAGGAGACGGGAGCTGCGGACCCACCTCCTGCGGCCGCCAGCACCATCCGGGGGCCTTTGTAATGGCTGCTGACGTAATCCACCAAGTCCTGACGGGTCAGGTTCCTGACAGCGATCAACACAAGAAGCAGCGTTCATTTTGGCAGCCATGTTGTCTCTGTCGTCAGTGTTTTTAGCTATGTTACGATAAATAATGTAGCAGCTGGACTCGATAATGAGCTACGTCCACAAACAGAGCAGTTTTAGTGGTGGCGCTATTCTAGTGGAAAGAATATTTAACACCAGGGTTTGAACACTTTTCACACCGTAAAACGTTTACGGTGTTTTCAAACGTTTCCAGCGCCACAATTTGGAGATACAAACAATACAGGTGAAGTAAAAAAAAAAAAATAATAATTTCACCATTATGTGACATAATTTATTACCATTATTAAAAATGTTTTGTGGTAGTATTCTACGTTCAACAGCAGGAACGAGGTAAACTAATATATAGTTTTCTGTTTGAAATGTTTCTCTCACACATCCTGTAGGCACATGAACACAATAATGACTTAACCAAAAATCTCCCCATTTTAGTAATGTTGTATAAGGTATGAAATATAACAACCAATAAATCATTAGGAATAATACATGTGAATGACACTGAAACAATCTAAGCAAACTGTGTTAAGGTAAATGACCCTTCTGTTCAAATTAAATACTAATAATATTCAAAGTTACAAAAAACTAAATATATTTCTAGCATGTAGCAAGTAGAAATAATTTAGTTCATCCTAACAAACCTAAAGCATAAAAAGTTTAGTCTGATTTAACTTCAGACTGAGAAAAAAAATGTGTCTTTATTAAGAGGTAAAGAAATCTGGTTTTGTCTGTAATCAGCTTTAGGCTTCTAGATTGATTAAAAGCTTGATATTCAAACTGTGTAGTTTGAATATCAAGCACTTTCATGGACGTTATACAGAATTCAAGCACTTTCCAAACCTTGAAAAAAACTAAATGAAATGCAAGCGTTTTTAGGGATTTCCAGCCATACGAACGCTGTAAACCCTGACTACGTGAGCAGAGAGCGTCCCGTCCCTCCTACCTGGCGTTGCTGGACGGCCCCAGCACGCTCTGTCCTAGCGGCGTCCCCTGGTAGGCTGTGGCGTGCAGCAGGTCCAGACAGACTTCCTGCAGGTTGCCCTCCACCTCCTCCATCTCCCGCAGCACCACGCTCCTCTGCTGCTCGATGTCCGCCTCGTTCAGCGTGCAGCTCTGCACCACGTCTGACAGCAACTCCACAGCTGGAGACCACGGGTCAGTCAGTGGTCGGGATTTGAGGCGGTGATTTAATGTGATCGTTCTGAATCGCTAAAACATTTCATGGCTTCTAGGTTTGTTTTCTCACCTTTAGGAAGGTCTTTGGTGAAGGTCTTCATGTAGAAAGCAGTGTGCTCCCTGGAGGTGTAGGCACTCAGGTGAGCACCCATAGACTCCACCTGCTGCTCCAGGGCGGTTTGGGGGTGCTTCTTTGTTCCCTGCAGAAAATCAATTTGTACACTTTTACTTGGGATCGTTGCATCCTGGCTGATGTTTGGTCTTTGGCTCCCCCTACTGTCACTGGGTTTAACATCACAGGCTAAAGGAAATCTCTGAACCTTGTAGATGGGAACTGATCGAGCCTAAAAGAATCGGGAGAAGCTTCAGCTTAATGTATTACAAGAAGTTCACACTTTTTAGCTGGATTTGGAAAATACATTTTAGAGTTAAACTAAGAACCTACTGTTCATTCTCTAGAGTACATGATGCTAATCATGCTAATCATTAACAGATGCCAAAAACTGTTAATTCCATGATCGTTTGACAGCAGCAGGTCTCACATACGCTCATATCATCCTCATGACAGCAATAACTACATAAAAAATATTCTGAATGCTGCTCTTTTAGCTTGTCATTTTATTTTTCTTACCCAGAAATCAGAACAAAATTAACAGGTCACTAAAATCTTATTTTCTTATTTCCTATTCTGATCCGATTACAGATTTATTTATTTTTTAAATTGCAGCATAAATGGAGTCAAGGAAATGTAAATCATGATGTTTTGACCTGATATCCAACTTTACTGCTGTTGCAGGGCTGTTTCAGACAACAAAATGTAACTAAAAGGAGTCAAATGAATAAATACATACAGTATATTTACATGCAACAAACATACATTTTACTTAATCTGGCCAAAAAGTCTTATTTTAAACGTCGAGTGATGACTCCACCTTGAAAGCCATGTGCTCCAGGAAAAAGCCCGCTCCGTTGTTCTTCTCGCTCTCATAGCGGCTGCCAGCGCTGATCCAAACTCCAACCTGTGAAGGTGAGATGAGGTCAGAGGTTAGGTTGTTGATGTCCATTATGTACGTTAATACTGTCTTGGCTGGGACAGGGGACTAAAAGGACAAATGAATATGCTCTTACGGTGCAAGTTGCATGTCCTGTATCCTCAGATGCAATTCTCAGACCGTTGTCCAGGACAGAGACGTGGGTTTCAGGGGCTCCTGCCAGGCTCTGGGCATAGCTGACCGACGCCTGTCCACGTCTCAAAGACAGCAGGATGGGCTGCAGTTCGCAAAAAAAAAATAATTGTATGTTTGAATTGGGTTCAAAATTATATTTTCGACTCATCTCTTTTCTGGGTGTTACTGGTTGCAGTTTAGAGATACCCCGCTGAAAACATAAACATACCCAGAATATTATGAGCATCTTTTTTTTTTGTTCTAGTTGGGGAAATAGCTGAGAGTAATTTTTTGAAATTTTATTTTAACTTACTTTATTTACTTATAGATGAAGACAACCTAAAACAAACCAAATTTTGTCTTTAGCCATTTATCTGCTGAATATCAACTGATTAGATGTGCAAGTATAGATTAGATTAGCCAGCTCAAATCCATATTCCATCAAAAGCATGACAAAACACACATCATTTATACCTAAAATTTTGATTTAACAATGTTGGAATTATATATTTTTGTCTCCAGGCTAAATATCTGTCAGTATTTCCAATTATAAAAAAACATTTAAAAACACTGACTGTTTCCTTATGGCGGACTAAACAATTACACAACAATTAAGGGACGTTTATTCTTGCTACCAAGAAAGTGAGCTATGGTATTACCCTTAAGAAAATTATTATGATTTGGGGTTAAAACCTTTCGGTTTTCAATGTAAATGAGGGATGATGATTACCCATTTTAATTACAGAAATGTAAAGGTGCATCAAAAGTAGACGCTGCTCCATTAGTTTCGGTGTAAACATGAGTGGGATTCAATAACATTCTCAGTCATTTTTTTTCAAAGTGACTGTCCAAACAAAACACACAGAGCAAAGAGTTAGAATCTGCCTTTTAAAAGTCACAATGCTAACGCTGCTACTCAGGAAGCTCTGAGGACAGGGGAGGACAAACAGACGTTATTACAATAACTGACTTCGTGGAGGACAACAAACAACGAAAACAACCGGTATCCCTAATGTATAAACTGGACATTGCGTTACAATAAGAAGTTAAAAGTCGTGCAGCTCCATTTGGTAATTGACCTTGCATTCACTGTTAGCCAAACGATGCTAACCGGTTAGCAACTCGGCACAGCTAGCTCGACCACCACACCGGTCTGGCCGTTACACTTTTGGTTATTTAATTCAGCAATCGCAACACTGCTCAGCTAAAACATCTACTAATTAAAAGTCTGTCGAAACACTCACACTGCGGGTTTTGGCGAGGACTCGCCCCACGGTGCTCCCTACTCGGCACACGGACGCCGCCATTTCTAAACTCAGTGAGAAGGCTGTCGCCGCTTCACTCTTCTTCTTCCGGCTGAAAGAAAGTGATCTTCAGCTTTTCGAGCGGATGGTACTGCCACCACATGTCCAGTGTGTAGTACTGAACCTAAAAAAATGTAATATTCCTTAAAATTCCAATTCTTTTAGCGCTGATACTGAGACCATTCTGCTCCAAAAAGTTAAAATGTATTAAAATTCCCTACACAAAAATATGAACGTGGTTTCATTAAACCCCTGAGCTCTTTCACTTTTTACAGTATACCTTATCTGTACTGACAAAATATGGAGGATGAGGGAGAAATCTTAACTGTGAACTGTACTGTGAACTTTTATGTAATTTACTTACTGTCAGTTTTATCAAATCTCCCAGTAAAATAAATTATTTAAAGTGATTGCCTCCTTTCAGTTACAACTAAAAATGCTATGAATTTGTCTTTCATATTTTTCCTGGCAGGAGGCAGGTAGCTGCTTAGTCACTGTAGGAGAGATTCAAGTTAGAAGCATTTAAATAAAACACGTAATGCATGCCAAATCCCAGATTTTATTTTAAGGGAAATAAAATCCCTTTATGGAAGATATTTTAGGCACTTATAGGGCTGCTGGCTATTTTACTGGGCTGTTTGAGTTGAACATCACCAGGCGCAAAGAAGCTTGCTTTTTCTCTGTTGCTGTTGTTGGCTGAACTTTTAATACCTCTGCATGTTTCTTTGAGAAATGCTCAAAGTTAGAGCCTCCATCAACTGAAAGAACTGTCACTGGCAGATGAATTGCGACTCTGGAGATTGAAGGTTCTGGAGGAAGAGCAGGAGATGCTTCGCTGCTGCTGGTCTTGTTCTCTTGTGCCTTTTGGATAACCTTCGGCAGAGGCTGAACCTTCTCTGGTGCAGATTCCTTTTCTTTGACTGCACCCCCCCGTTTTGAAGATGACAATTGGGAAGATTTCAGTGGAGGAAAAACACATGGGTTTTTAACAGCAAAGCCCTCAACAACCAGGTTGATCCCCAAGTACTGTGGGACTTCTACCGCCGCCTGGAGATGAGGAATGACATCTGAAACAGCGCTGAAACACACAAACAGGGCTGATTACGCATATTATGCTTTGACCTCAACCTTACCTGCCTATATATGAGCTGAAAGTCCCCAGTGTTTGCGGAACGGTCCACTCTGCGGTCCAGAACCACTCGTAATGTGTCCTCCTGCACAGCAGTGCAGAGCTGGGCGGTCACACAGGTTGAGGGTGCCATTGTGGGGCTAGCGTTGATTTCTATTAACCATGGTTGCAGGCTGAGGTCTGGTCAAAACACAAGCAAAACTGTTTATTGGGATGTAAATTTTAATAGGCATTGTGTGACATGCAAACATAGTTGGACACAAAACAACCATAATATTATGGCCGCATACTTTAAATTGTGGCTGCTACCAAAATAGCCTTGAATTGTAGAGATTCTACTAGACCTCCAAAGTTGTGTTGTAATGTCTAGCCCGAAGATGTTCTCATGCAAACCACCTCATCAGCAGTTTGAGCTACAGTAGCTCGCCTGTTGGATGAGATCATTGCGCTAAACTTTGTGCACTACAAAGACTTGTTTTTTTTCCCAGCCATATCAAAGTGCTTTTGTCACATCACAAGAGTCATGTGATCAACAGCCGATGTTACTACTGGCAAAAACAACAAAGAAGACGACAGACAGGAAGTAGTAGGAGGATGATTAGTTGATTTTGGAGGTGAAGGGGTTTCGGACTATGTGCAGCTCACAACATCGCACAGCTCATAAAAAGTTGTATGTCATTCTAAAGTGTTGAATCCATAGCTTTCTTGTTACTGCTGTATGGCCTGTACTTGTGCAGCATTTTATCAAATCTAGAAGACCCCAAAGCGCTCCTACATTCAATCATTCACCTATTCACAAGCTGACAGTGGCAAGCTACTGGACTGTAGTCTGGGGGAGTCTGACAGGAGTGAGGCGCCACCGGGCTCTGTGACCACCAGAAGTGTCTTTACCAAGGACACAGTGACAGAAGCAGACAGACCAACGACTGCGGGATGAACACTTACCATCCTCGCCACTATTGTCCAATCAAAACATCAAAGCTGAGTAAGCTGCTTTGATTCTTTACACAAAAACAACTTTGTAACTCCCAAAAGGAGCAGAATCAGGTTTGTGTTTCAGGAGAAATGCTACCTTGCTGTCTTGTCATCTGTAATACATAAATCGAGTGCATCATACCTAACATAAAATCAGCGCCATAAAGCTCAAATGTGTTCTTGCGAGACTCTATCAGATCCTGTGCTGTCTTCAGTGCGTGGATCACGGCTGCCTTCATTCCTAGGACTACAACACTCTCCCAAAGAGCTTCCTTGCCCTGGCTGGCCAGAAAGGCCTTGAACTGGTCATCCAACCACATGTTGTGTGGTGGAATGCAGTGATGGCGTTGATGAGAGGGCCTCAGGTGCTTCTGGATGGAGTTATTGCACAAGTGCACCGAGCTGAAGAAAGAAAAGAGAAATCAGATGAAAAGGGGTTGGGGACAAAATGAACCTAAACAGTGGCAAGCACACAAAGATATGCCAGGGTTTGTAAACCACTTCAGGCCTTGTACAAATGTAGCCCGGTTTTTATAAAAACAAATATTTTGCCGAACCGTTTTAAAAAAATAATATTGTACATACAGGATCGGTTTCACAAAAGATTTTAGCACACAAATCTCTCCTCAGTGTTGTTCTAAACATTCCAAGCCCATAGGGGGCAGTGTCGGGCAAAGCTAAAATCTATGACAGCCAATCAGATTGCTTCAAAAGTTAGGAGGCTCATGGATAGATACATAGGTTGAACTACTTTTAAATAGTTTATTAGTATTACAAGTTGATAAAACACACAGCAATGTTTTTATCAAGTATGTGAATATATTGGTGCATTACTTGTCGCAGATTGTAATATGTGGGACCTAAATCTCCGTCTCCCCACGTACACACGCAAACACAAATACAAAGTTTTCTCACAATTTTATAAAGGTCAAAGTTTTCAATAAATTATTGTTTTTCATTTGTGATATTAAACAGTTCTGTGTGGACGAAATGTCAAAACGTATAAAGTGTATCTGTTTTCCTAGATATGTGTCTACATGTGGACTATGCCTTAGTCTTAGACTCAATGAAAAATACTTATACAATTTCAGAAATATAACAGGACATAAGAATAGATAGCAAGAGACAAGTTGTTCTTTGTATTCTAAAAATGTGTCACAAATTCTTACAAATCCTAATTATTTAGACTGCATTCACGCACAGTCTGAGACATTATAGAACTCCAATGATTTTTATTTTGAAGAAAATCGGGGGGATTAATGATTTGACTGTCTTACTGAATCGTGTAAAACCTTCTATTGATTTAGAAATACAGTTTTAAACGTGATGCCTTTGTGATACGTTGTGTTGATCTATTACAAAAAGGTTCAAAGGAAAAGAAAAAAAGAAAACACAAACTAACTACAACACCACTATTTCTGATGATGTGTCACTTTCTAACAGACCCTACACGTGAGCAGCTTTCTCTGCTCCCTGTGGAATCCATGAAAATTCAGACATGATTAGATTAAAGTTTCAGAAGCTGCTTTTAGTCCAATTTGAATTTTGCTGCTGCAGATGTCACAGATAATAATAACCCACCCTTAAATATACCATTTGGTAAAACCGCTTCAGGTTACACACAGATGCAAAACCAAATCTCCCTCCAACAGTGATAGGCAAAGGAGAGATGCCTTTTTCTGAATTTCACTTCCTGTTTCTCTGTTTCAAAATTAATCACTGACGCATAATTTGTTTCCCCCAGTATTGAATTTACTGTCTTACCTGTCCAGTGTATCTAATGAGTACGGCTGGGTGGAAAAGCGCAAATAGCACTTTTTGTAGAACCACACAGTCAGAGGGTTCCAGTCAGTGACCAGAAACCACTGGCGCACGTCAAACTTGGTGTCGTGGACCAGAAAGGGTTTCTCGATGTACTTTTGCACCACCCACTTGCTTTCCTTGATAAGCATTGGGTCTATGTTCACTAGCCTGAGGATCTGATCAAGACGCTTTTCACATTTGATACCTTGAAGACAAATTCAACAGATCAGACAGAGCGTTTCAAATACGATGTGTGTGTGTCTGACGGCTTCCGGTGTTCTACCTCTGCCCCTGGACTTTGCCCCAGGTTTGACGATCCAGATATTTTGTGTGCCATCTATGCCCAGCTGTGGGCTAACTTTCTCAAGTTTCTGCAGCATGGCCTTGCAGGAGCTAACGAAATTTTCACTTTTCTCAATATGAGCTCCGCCACTGTGGAGGAAGCAGAGAGAGAGAGAGAGAGAGAAAAAGCACTGTAGAGATCCTGAAGGGCACGTTTTCCCAGACAAAAAAAAAAAAATCTCTCAAGCCTGATGAACACTCACTGAGCAACAAGATAATAACTGTTAAGAAACCCTTCCCACTGCTCCTGTGTCAGTAGTGTTTCCAGGCTTTTGTCGATGTCTCCGTGCTCCAGACTCTCCAGGTATTCCTGGCATACTTTGAGCGCAGTAGTAACCGTTTCGGAAGGGACCAGTGGTTTACACCTGAGTTTGTTCTGTTTCTTCAGCCCTGAATGTGGAGGGAGAAACTCAATCTTCAGGCAGAAGATTAGTTCTTAACCCTTAAACCTTTTCAAAATGTCACTTTACAACACCCAAACCTGTGTATGATTGAGACTGTACGTGGAACATCAACACAAATTTGTACATTATCTTGCGGTGGAAGGAGAAGACTGCACGGTTTTCAAAACAATCTTAGGTTGGTTTAGATCAACGCATAATTGTGTTAGATTTCATAAATCCAATTAGGAATCTGTGATTAGACTCCATCTAAATCTGAGCAAGCTTGAGTTATTTTGCAAATAAAAATAGGAACAAAATGAAGTTGACAATGTATAAAACCAATAATGTTTGCACCTATAATTGCAATAAAAAGGTGGTTGTCTGCTAATTCACTATCATATGCTATCTTGTATAGCATAAAATCCCAACAAAATACATTGAAGCTTGTAGTTGTAATGTGACAAAATGTAAAAGTGTTCACAGTGATCAATGGATCATACACTGAACATCCTGAAAGTTCTGATATATTTCGTTCCACTGAATGTTCTGGTCCTTTTCCACAACATATTTCAGTAGACTAGTGCACGCAGTCCGCCTGTAGTCCTCTACAGAGAACAACACAGAAAGACAAGTCTACATTAACAAATTGCAAACAAATAAACGATTGATAAAATAATTGTTAGCTCGAATGCAAAACCAGATCTGACCAATGAAAGCGTGCTTCTCATCCTGGGCTGCGAGTTTGTAACAGCGGGGGAAGAAGCTGTCTGGGTCAGCCGTGTCAAACCAGTGGAGGTTCCTTAAGTTCACACACAACCCCGCCTGTTGGAGTAAAAAGGCCGGTGATGAAGGTGAGCGTGAAGGGCAGAGGTGGAAAGTGTACAAAAATAACATACTCAAGTAAAAAGAACGTAAAAAAAAAAAAACATGTGTTGTAAATCTACCTTTGTGGTGAAACTGCCTGCTTTAGCAAAATGATTGATAATCTGTTCTTTCTGCAAGTTGTTTGTGCTGATTGCGTCTCTACGGTTTGTCCAGTAGAAATAAACCATCTCGTTCCGCACAAGGCGAGACTGAAAAAAATTGAAAATAATAAATAAAAAAAGAGGGATGGGTGGAACCCTCAAGTAAGTTCTGCCACTTTTAGCGACCAATTCTGCATTTACCATGAGACTGTGCAGTCTATCTGGCTCCTTCTCTTTTTCAGTTTCCTCTGAGTTGTCTGAGGAGAAGGCCCGACATTTCAAACAGCGTTCACCACAAAAGGATGTTTCGATCAGATACTTTCGGCTCACCTTCTTCCGCATCATTCGATCTGCTGTCACTGTTCAGACGCTGCTGGACCTGCTGCGGCATTCGTTGTTCAATCCAGCCTCTGGCCTTCAAAGCTGCCCTGATGACAGGATACGGGCCTTGGATGGTGAATATCTTGTGCATCTGAAACAGCGGGATCAAAAGTTGTGGTTTCCTTCTCCGAGCAATGACAGCTTTGGTCTCGAAGAAGTCGCGGCTGACCTTAATTGCCTTCTCCACCAAACTCTTGGCTAACTTCACTCTGCCTGGGTTGATGTCGGGTAATCCCACTTTGATCTCAGGAGAATCTGTTGACACACAAACACATGTACGCACTTATTTTTTGTAGAATTTTGGACAAAGATCTAATGGTGCAAAGCCAGCTAGAAAATACAGACAGTTTTGCTGATTAAATGGAAGAAATCTCCATAAGTAATTTCGGCAATAGAAAATGTGTTCATGTTGGATAATATTTCTAAAGGCCTGGACCAAAAGAAAAAAAGATGAATTATTAATTCACAGCTTCTACGTTCAAACATTTGACTCCAAGTCCTGCTCATGACCATATGATTAATTCAGAACTGTTGATCCATAATCTGTTGCTTGGAGGTGTAAAATCAAATGTTTCAAGTTGAAAAATTTCCTTGTAGTAAAATAAACCAGACCAAAGTAATTTATCATTTCAAGGTGAATGGTGTTGCTTTATTTGTTTTTTCCAGGAATAAAATCTGAAAAGTGTAGCATACATTTTTTATTCAGGACCTCTGAGTGTGTACCTTATTACTACAGTAAGTCTTTTGGTGCATACTAACCACTGAACACTTAGTTTTAATTTTGCTGTACATGCCCAATTGGATTTAGATCTTTTGTTTACTTATTTATTTATTGGCAATTTTGTTCTTTGAAATTTGCTGAAATCCATGTATCATTTCTCTGCCACTTCACATTGAGGCATTATTTTTGCATTGGTTTATTAAATCCCTTTTCAATACATTAAAGACTGTGAACAATGTAAACAAATATTTTTATTTTGCAGAGTTTTGTATTCTGAACCTCAGTCACAAAAAGATTAAATGTCGATCATTTTTTGCTCGCTTGACATTTCTGTTGTCCACTTACTGTGTTCCTTGCCATCCTCCAGTTTCTCTAGGTTCAGGATTACAGCATTGGCAGAATCGGTGGCCTTCATGTTGACATCAACTCTTCTTCCTCAGGGAAACCATTTCATGTGTTTCATTAGCTCCCACTGTCTTGCAGCTTTGGGACTGAACCAGACAGCATAAAGGTGAGCACCACCTGAAGATAAAACGTTTCCGCAAATACAATAACACACATTTGTACGTTTTAAGCTCTCTCTGACAGCCGGTGTAGATGATAAGCCCCTCCCTATATCCTCGCGCAGCATTAAGTGGGTCAAACTACTTTGTTGACAGCTTGGCTCCACCCAAAAGATGTGGGAAACTTTCATTAAGCTACGGCAATAAAAGGAAAGCAAACCTAATTACCAGTGTGTTTATGAGACTTTTGCTATGTATTTATTTGTTTATTTATTTATTTTACATAAGCTATGGAACCGCCAGGGCTTCCCTAAATTGTCTGTTAAAACAGAGCACATGCTGAGCCGCTTCTAAACATTTTCTGTAAAAACTGTTACAAACTCCACCTGCCGCTGTCAGCAGGATGTTCCGTGGTGTTACCAAACACTATTAGTTCAGAGATGTTCCTCTCACCTGCTCTATTAACCTTGTACCGAGTTTCACCACAGGTATCCCCGATGCGCCGGTGTTAACTTGTTTACTGTTACTATGGCAACCTCCTTACAGTTACTTGCTAGACATGGCGACGAAGAGCAGTCCATTGTTAAAAAAAGGCCGTAAAACATTAAACGGAATAAATTTTTTCTGATTAGACGAAATAGTTATATAAAGCAAATAAATGTTTTTTTTAAACCATCATAGGAATATAATGAAATAAAGGAATAAAAATAAAATACCAAAATTCAGCCATTTCCTGATGGAAAAAAGAGTGAAGGAAGCGAATGACTATTCCTAGTACTATTTGCTTCATCCTACAACATGTATACACAGAAATGTTAACACCTATACGATTAATTCATTCTACCTATCAATTTATACATATAAAATACATTTTTCGTATTCAGGTTCTATCAATAATTTAGAATATCACTAAAAAGTTCATTTTTCATTAATTTAATACAAAGGCGAAAACATATTTTATCCATTCAGTACTCGCATTGGAAACAATTGTTCAAGTCAACTTTCTACCCCGTTTTATGAAAATCGTGAGTGTATATAATTGATTTACAGTTTATAGTTTATAAATGCTTAATATCTGTACTGATAATTCCCCCTGCTGTGGTGTTAAGAACAGGTGAAGAATTTGATTAAAAGTATAGTGAAAAAAGAACTTTAACAAAAAGTTTTTGTCATACTTTTAAAATCTTTTTTTATGGGTTCAAAGGATGTTTTCAGGTTTATATATTATTTATTGCTTTTATTATAATAAAAATAAAAGAAATATATTCAATTGTGAGTTAACCTTTTGTTTAAAAAAAGTCACTCGTTCTTTTGTTTGTTTTTAGTTGAGAAGCAAAGCCAGCAAATACCAGATAATTACTGGTATCTTGTTTCTGATATTATATCTTATATTATAATATTATATCACATTATAATTTTGAATATAATACATTATACTATAATATATAAATATATTGTGGAAGTTAGCAGAAGAAGACGCATATTATAATCTGACATTATAAATTCTTTCTGATATATTTATATTTTCTGATATTTATATTTTCTGCTTAACACTGTGTTTTTATTGTAGCACTTTTTCTTCAAAGTGCATAATTTAAGCGTCATTCGATGATAATTGTCCCGAAGTCGGTATATATATGGAGGACCGCCATAGATTACAGCGGGTTATAGTGCTGCACGGTAGACAGGCTCATAAATTACCATAGCAACCAGCAGCGGAGGATTTACGAAACCCTGATGTAGTTTACAGCCGCCATATTGGATCCGGGGCGGGGAGAGTTGCTCTGACAGCTTCAGAGTCCTACCCAGACAAAATCCGCGCACTATTTCTAAACACACAGTAACTCCCAGCACCTTGAGTTTGACATTTAGCATAAAACGTCAATACTGAAAAACTGGTAAGTTTTTTTAAGGGTCTTAATAGGCCGCGATAAAGACCTTTTGTTTAAAAAAGTCACTCGTTTTTTGTTTGTTTGTTTTTAGCTTGGAAGCAAAGCCAGTTTTAGCTTTCTGAGATGTGTGGAAGAACTGCGTGCACTCTAGCTCCGGACGAGGTGAGCCGAGCCTGCTCGTACAGAAACCGGGGCGGACAGCGGAGACAGCCCCGCTGGAGGGACGGAGACGCGGACAAATATAGACCCTCCTACAACAAGAGTCTCCAGTCCATGAGTCCGGTTCTGGTGTCGCAGAGACATTTCGACAAGGTGACTTCAGCTTTAGTGAAAGTGGATATTCGTGTAACGTTTACACTTGCGCTAAACGTTACACGGACTTCTTCTAACAAGCGGGTCCATTGTTTCCCTCAAGCTGAACGGTGCCGACCCAGATAACTTTTGGTTCCCGCCTTTAAATGATTCCGAGCCTGTGCTGTGTACCTCACTTTATTTTAGTTTTTTTTTTTAAGGTTGAATAGACTGCGTTTTGTGATAATTTATTGTTTGCAAAATTCAGTACAAATTCTAATCAAGTTGTATATAAATAGCTTCTGAGCTTTTTTCAAAGCATATTTGAATAACTAGCGCATCTGAAGGAACTTTTTCTTGAAAGTTTTAGTTTTAGATGTAATGTGTCCAGAAATATAACTGTCCTTTAGGTTTTTGAGTACTTTGTTGTGTTTTATTTGGATTTTATGTGGTACACCATCACAAAGTGGTGGATAATTGGAAAATGTGAAGAAAAAAATATATATATTTTAAATGTTAAGCTAAAAAAGTGACATGTATTCAACTCACTTAAGTTGAATACATCTAAAGATATATGTATTTTTATTACCATTCCTCTTTACAAATTAGCTCAAGCTCTGTCAGTATCTATTCAGATATTTATTTTCATCTCTCAATTGCATTTAGATCTGAACAATAATAATAATGTACTCTTTGAATATGCTAAGCCATCCCTATAGTGAGGGCTGTCCTACTAGAAGTTGCTGATTTATGTCGTCCCTAGACTGCTCCTGTGGATGAATGTGTTTTGGCCTCAATGCGTTGGGGTCTCATACCCGCCTGGTTCAAGGAGAGTGACCCCAGCAAGATGCAGTACAGCACCAGCAACTGCCGCAGTGAAAACATTCTCGAGAAAAAGTCCTACAAGGTGTGCACTTCAGTGGAAGTCATCCTTTCCTGTTTTGTCATCCTTTTATTTTTTTGAGCTTGTCATCTTGACCTTTTTTCAAAGGACCCCCTGTTGAAGGGACAGCGCTGCGTCATCATGGCTGACGGATTTTATGAGTGGCAGAGGGTGGAAAAGGAGAAGCAGCCTTTCTTCATCTACTTTCCTCAGAAAAACGGCCCGAGCCAGGAGCGGAAAGAGGACCAGCAGCAGGACGTCACGTCTTCAACTTGCAATACAGTCGTGTCAGAGAAAGGGGAAATCTCGCATGACCTGGCAGAGGTTTGCATTATCTTCTGTTGGAATAAAAGTACTTCAGATTATTTATTCGTCTAGAACAAAATTGCAGAAATCGTTGGAAATCATAATGTGAGGGAGATAGGTGTTCATTTTGGAAACAAAATGTAATTTGAAAGGAAAGTGAAGCTCCTGCTGAGTGGACCGGGTGGAGGTTGCTGACGATGGCCGGAGTGTTTGACTGCTGGACACCACCAGGCGGTGGAGAAGCTCTTTACACCTACAGCGTCATCACTGTGAACGCTTCACCGAATCTCCAAAGCATTCACGACAGGTTAGTAGTAGCTGCAGTTTTTCTCTTTTTTGTATGCAACAAAAAAAAGGTTCCTACACTGTCTTGAAAAGTAAAGGATTTTTTTTTGTTTTTTTAGTGTTTTGAGGAGCAAAAATGATAGAATAGAGGATAGAAAAGCATTCAGGTTTCAGAGTCTTCTCCATTTTATATCAAAAAGATGGAAGATTTGGATTTCCATAAAAGAAATAAGATACTTGTTTTCAGTATACTTGAGTGTTTTTGCTTAAAACAAACTTAAATTTAAAAATTTGAAATGTAAAAATGTAGTTAGAAACTTACTTTAACTAAAGAATCAAATCATATAATAGTTAATGCTTGAAAAGTTGGTATTATCAAGCATTACCTATTAACTATCTTTGATATTGTCAAAAAAAATAAGCACTCAAAATTACAGATAAGGAGTTGAGTTTTCTTCATTATCATGTTTAAAGATGCACCCTCTCCGATTGGATTTTGTACCTGGTTAAAAACGCGGACCTTTCTATTCAATCATTATACATTGTTGTTTTTTTACACAAGACAATTTATTTTTTGATTAGAGAATTCGTGTTGAAAATTCTGATCAAAGTCACTTATTGTTAGAGACGTACGATATATCGGTGTCAACATCAGTATCGGCAAATGTTAGTCTTTTTTTTTTTTTTTTTTTTACTTATTCAAATAAATTAAGAAAAAAAAATTGGAAATGGAAATTTTACTTGTATAACCTGGATAATAAAATTTAAACAACTACGTGTTTAATTTTTTTGTCAGGATGCCAGCCATCCTGGACGGAGAAGACGAAGTGAGAAGATGGCTCGATTTTGGGGAGGTGAAGTCTCTGGACGCCATCAAGCTGCTTCAGTCCAAAGACGTTTTGACCTTTCACCCCGTCTCGTCTTTTGTCAACAACTCGCGCAACAACTCCCCAGAGTGCCTCCAACCGGTGGATCTCAGCAGGAAAAAGGTAGCAAGACCAACAAGTGACTGTCTTTGCAGTCTTTGAATAACAGCCATACAGTCAGACAAGAGCATCTCAGTAAATTAGACTATTATTAAAAAGTTAATAAATATATATATATATATATATATATATATATACACACACACACACACCCAAGAGTGCAGACAAACTGAAGGGCGTCATTGGAGCAATCTGGGCTTCTGACACTTCGCCTGTCATGCACTTTTTCCATCCACGCCATGCCTCTTTGGTGCAGAAATTCATGCAAAACCAGAGCTTGGAGTGAAATTAATGCAACACTTGATGGGAATAAATCTTGTGACATTTGCATAAAGTTTTTCAAACGATAACACAGGGAGTAGTGTGACACTTCTTTTTAGTCTCACACCAAATAAAAAAAGGAACATAGACCATCTTTCCTGGCTGACATGTTTGTATCAAAACACTTTTTATGTCTTGTAAAACATTTATAGAAATTTGAATTTCGAGAGTTTCTTTCCCCCCCCCCCATCAGACTGATTTGCCTCCTGGTTTTTCAGGAGATCAAGGCCACAGCTAGCAGTAAGATGATGATGAGCTGGCTGTCGAGTGGCAGCCCGGCTAAAAGGAAGGAGCCCGACACGAACGAGACCAAAGGAGAGCAAGACAGCAAGGCTAAGAGTCGATGCAAGCCTGCCGGAGGACTTCAGCTGTGGCTTCAGGGAGCCAATAAGAAACCGAGAACAAAATAAACAAGAAATTTAGCTGTTAGAGATCATTTCAGTCTTCATTTTTGTAAATGAAAATGTTTGTGTATTTCTTATGTTGATGCCTTTTATGTTTTTTTGACTGCCCAAGATTTAATAATAAATACCAAGAACTCTTTACGCTTAAGTCAAGATATTTTTATTATCCATTACTTGAAACGCAAAGACATTTTGAAACAATGTAGATGTTGTGCATTACCATATTCTAATAATGATGAATGCCAAAGATTTCCATCTGTCTTTTTAAGAGTCAGAGTTACAGTATGTGTGCTATTTTAGACTCTACGATGAATTTCTAGCTCTCAGTATAATACAAACCAACAGTTAAAGATCCAATCAGTTAAAATAAGATGAGAAGCACTTAAACTGTTTGCCACCACAGGCGAGTTGGCAGAGTCGGATATGAAGATTTACAACAGCTTTCTTTGCCTTCCCTAAACCATGATTGAGAAATTCGCAATTATACACAAAGTCTTGTAAAATAAACATATTTAATAAAAGGAGTTATTTCAGAAAAAAAAAAAAAAAAATCCCTCCTCCCGGTTTATCTGGCATGCTGTATTGATGCAGCTGGTTCCCATGTCAAATGATGTGAGAACGGTAAATGATTACAAGATGAACCTTCATTTTTCCAACAGAGGAGCAGCGCTTAGATCAAAAGTCCCAACCTAAGCTACAATCAGATTTATTGTGTGGCTCGAAATGAGTCTTCTCCATAAATTTAAGCTACTGGGTATGACAGCATGATTGCAAAGTGAGGGAAAATAACTACATATTTGTCAGATGGACTTTTTTTCCCCCCAACTTGATTCTCAATTATATGCCAATTTTTTAAGAGTCAGCCACCATTATTTTCATCTAATTCACTTGTTTAGTTTCACACAAAAGCCCTGCTGAAGTAGGGGGATTTCTTTTATGCGGTCCAGGCTGTATATATATCACTGTAACAAGTCTTAGGGAAAATATGGAGCAGCAGTGTTTCCTCTGTTTGTGCAGCAATGGTGGACCGAGAGAAAATAACCACCACAATTAAAGACATTTTGATTATTAAAAAAAAAAAAAAAAAAAAAAAAAAAAAAAAAAAAAAAATTTTTTCAAAACAAAAATAAAAAAAAAAGAACAAAAAAAATTTTTTTTTTTCCATTTTTTTTTTTTTTTTTTTTTTTTTTT